CTCCTTTCCCTTCTGCCTACTGGTTAAAGGCAGTGAATGGAGAGGGTGGGGCTGTGCAGCTGAGCTGGGGTAGGGGAAACCCAGCTGGGCAGACCCCAGCTTGGGGAGACCCCAGGGCAGGGTAAGTGAAACCCCCTGAGGTGCACCAGCTCAGAGCTGGGGCCAGAGCTCGGGCTGGGGCAGGGGGGAGCACAGTTCTTCCACCTCTCCGCCTCCCCTTCTGCTGCTCTCCAGGGCTGACAGGTGCAGTCAGGATGCAGGCTGGGGAGCAGAGGCTTTGCTGCCTCAGCTCTATGGCAGCTTGGGGACAGGGCTGGCCCAGCTCAGCCAGAGCAGACAAGAGGGGCAGAGACTAGCCTGTCACCTTGGGATGGGAGGTTAGCAAGGAGCTGCAGGCATCCTGGGATGCCAAAGGACAGGGAACTAAGGTGATTTTCTATGGGATCTGGGACAGAAGTTTGATAGAACGGGCTAACCTAAACTGATTAAATCTGATGCTACATCCATCCAGATCTAACTTAAACTGGGTTTGGCCATTTTGAAACCGGTCTATGTGTACTGAACTTCTGTTATCTTCCAGGTTTAGACTGGTTTCCAATCAGTTATACCAGTTTATGTGTAGTTTCTGTCCCTTGCCTAAAGTGCTACAGCAATATAAACACCAGTAATATAGTTGTAAGGGCCAGGCAGTAGGGCTGTGTGAAGCTTCGGTCTCTGATTCGATTCAGCGGAGATTCGGCCCATTATGGTGGCCGAATCTCTGAATCTGAATCAAATCGGAGGACCCTTTAATCTCTTGGAATCGAATTGGAGCGCTCCAAATCGATTTGGCGATTCGGGGATAGACACAGCTTTAAATGTTTTTTCTAAATACCTCTAGGTAACAGGCAGCTCATGAATGCTGCGATGCTGGGGCTCATGGAGTGTCCCACAGAAGCACGGGGCTGTCCAGTGTGCTTGGCAGAGGACCTGGAAGTGGACCAGAAGCACTTCCAGTCCACTTCTGGGTCCACTGGGGAGTGTGCCGGAGGCCCCCCCCCTACTGCCCCAGCTCAGCAAGTGGTGCCTCCTGGGTCTGGGAGGCACCCAGAGTCCACCTCCCCTAGCCAATCGCCGAGCTGGGGAGGCATGGAAGGGGGGCCCAGCATGCTCCCCACATGCCCCGGAAGTGGACCGGAAGTACTTCCCATCCACTTCCTGTCCAGTGTGCTTGGCAGAGGACCTGGAAGTGGACCAGAAGCACTTCCAGTCCACTTCTGGGTCCACTGGGGAGTGTGCCGGAGGCCCCCCCCCTACTGCCCCAGCTCAGCAAGTGGTGCCTCCTGGGTCTGGGAGGCACCCAGAGTCCACCTCCCCTAGCCAATCGCCGAGCTGGGGAGGCATGGAAGGGGGGCCCAGCATGCTCCCCACATGCCCCGGAAGTGGACCGGAAGTACTTCCCATCCACTTCCAGGTTTGCTGCCAAGCACACGGGGGGGCCCCCACGCTCCTGTGGGACGCTCCATCTGCCCCAGCATTGCAGCGTTCATAAGTCGCACCTGGTACCTCTAGGTATGTAGAAAAAACATTTAAAGCTGTGTCTATGGCCAAATCGCTGATTCTCTAAATCAGCATAGAATCTTCAGATTCAGATTCGGCTGAATCGAACCATGGACAGTGATCCCCGAATCAACTAATCGAATCACTGTCCCCGATTCAGGCTGAATCTCAATTGAATAGGCTCATTTTGCACACCCCTACCAGGCAGGTAAGGTTTTTTTCTTGTTTTTTTTAATGTAGTCATAACTTATTATGATCAGTTTTTTCCCCCCATCTGATTTATCCATTTTATTTTGCTGCATAAACCTAAAATATTCTGTCCAGCAGTGACTAGTTGAATTTTCCTCCTGCACAAAGGTTCTGGAGTAAAGCTAGTGGGGATAGCTTCACTGCTTTCTCATTCTAGCTGCCTTTTTACCTCTGGTAGAGGAAGGTGAGGCAGTGTCAAACCCTAAATCTGTGGCATAGGTAATAGGAACTGTTGGCCGCTTTATTTTACCCTTTTTTAATCAGGTATGACAAATGCAGTTTTTAAAGCCCTGTCACCATATAAATGAGACTTGTATTATATCTACATGTGTATATTTGTTCGCATATGCACGTATACACAGACATGTGATAAACAAATGAGCTTTGTGATGAAATGTATTTATCACAACTGTTACTAATACATCTGGTTTGCATGGAATGTGGCCAATGAAGAAATTCCATGAGGCATCTCAAGCCACCCGAACACAGTGGAATCAAGCTTCAAGACACAAAGGGGCCATGACTATCAATTTAATTGCCCTTTCCTTCTTCTCTATTTACAATGATCAAATTGCAAAGGCCTGAGAAGGTTGATACAAGGCTCCCTTGTTATCCGTTTTTGTTTTCTGCAGCTACCCATAGAAGTGTGGAGCAAAATCTCTATTGCTTTCCTTTGTTATTTGAAGGAGGAAATCTTTTACAAAGCAAATGTTGACATTGAATATGGCAGTATTCATGATTAGAAACAGGTGTTTCCAGATGTTGTAATTACACCATTTCTATAATACCAATCTCTGCAGTGTCTTAACTTGCAACTTGTACATATTTTTTTACTGTGAATGCTCAGTAATTTGAATTATGCCAGTTTATTTTGCACTGGATTAAGCACCTGACAATTTGCATCTGTTCATGCACCTGCAATGTTTATTCACCTTAGTAGCCAAAAGTTTTTTTTTCTTAAGTAGTTTATCTTTGTATTAAAAAAATTATCCTAAATCATGCTGTCTCTATTCTTTTTGCTTTATTCTTTTACTTGCAAGCTAATTAGGCTTTAGCAGTTCAGGGTAGCCAGTGTTTAAAAAAGAGAAAGTTGTCACTTGATTAGATAAGGATACAGAAAGGGGAGCGGGGGAGGATCTGTCAAATAGTAACCAAGAACAACTTCTGGAGTGACCATTAATCACATTGAAAAGCATTTTGTGGCAGAAACAATAATGTGATTTATTGAGATGTTTCTGAGTATAGACAAAGCCACCAAAAAGCACATGTGGATTATGTTTTCAGAGGTAATTTTTCAGACCAGGCATTATGATGCTGTGTCAGCCAGAGCAGTAACTAAACAGCTATTCAAAAAGACTCCAGTTCACTAATACCATTAGACTGCAGATAATAATAAAGGTTATCTGCAAAAATTCTTCATTGATGAATGTTGTTTCTAAGGTGCCATAAAAATGTTGGTCAGACATTTTTGCTTAAAGGTGTAATTGATTACAAGGTGGAAATGTCAAACAAAGTCAGACAAGGAAATAATTTTTTCTATATAAAACATGTTTGCTTCAGTTTTAAACTGCTACAGAATCTTTACTTTTTAAAATTAGAGTTGCTCCTGATTTACAGCCCAGTCTAATTCACACTGTGGTCAGCAGGAGTCCTTCACTTGATTTTTGTCAGGCACTCCTTATGTGTGTCATGGAGTTTGAATTGATCCTTTGGTGTTGGTGTAAGGACTTGATCTTGCATCACTGAAGTCAGTGGGGGTAATTTTATTTCATTGCAATAGTTTGGCCATTAAATGAAATCAGAATCAGGGCCTTTAATTTTAATGCAGAAATTCCTATATTCATTCTAGCCCCAACCTGGATGAGTTTAATTTATTCATCAATTACAGCAAAAAAACCTCCTGAATTTTAATGAGAAAAGTATGGATATTTTGCAATATCAGTTTGCATCATTTTTAAAATGACGAAGATGTTGAACAACACTTAATTGTATATGTAGTTCTGATACAAGTAGAGAATGTTCATATGTTCCTAGCATATGAGTTTTTATTTTGACTTGTGCAGCAGATGCACTGTACAAGCAAATCACAAATTGCTATTGATTCTTGACAGTATAATTGTTCTTGGCCTCTCAGTGGTTATCATACTGTCCACGTTCTGTCCTGTCAGCATAATCCTTTGTTTCACAAACCCTGTTTGTTTCACAAACCCTTTGTTTCATATAAACATCCTAATTTGGTCTGTTACCCCAAAACCAGAAAGCCCAAGGGCCCTGCAGTTGGGCACTGTGACCTGGTGCCACCTCATCTTATGTTATGGAACCATGTAGTACATGGCTTCAGTTCCCAGCCTGTGCATCTGCTTGCCTGTATCAGATGCAGCAGACCTTGAAGAAACTTTTGTCACAGACAGGCATTTAGAAATCAATTAACTCTTGATGTTGCTGTTGAACCATTATTCTAATGCATATCTACTTTACCTGTAAGCCAATTGCCAAAAGCAAACCTCTAAATACCATTTCCCAGCCATCATCAGACTGGTCCCTTCTCATCTGATCCACAGGGCAAAAAGGTTGAGCACCACTAATACAGATAATTGCTGAAACTGATCCTTTTTAACAAGGATGTTAGAAAATTGGAGAGAGCAAAGAAATTAGTCACAAAAATGGTTTAAGAGCTTGAGAATGTATAATAATGCTAATTATTGGCAGTTTTAACTGCTCAGCTAAAAAAAATGAAGATGATGCTTTGGGGGTGATTTATTTAACTTTTTCTTTTTTTCCCCCTTTTTTCTCTCTTCCCCGCCCCCTTTCCTAGTAGTAGAAAGGGACACTTAATCACAACTTCAGTGCATTTTGCACATCTAGATTATTAAACAGATAATTCTGTATGTGATAACTTTACCATGCAATACTAAGAATACTGCAAACATTTTTAAAAGAGCAGGTTAAATTCCAATCATGTCTAGTTTTTTGGTGCTGTTAGAACAGCAAAAACACCTATGAAGATTGAACTTGGCACCTTTGAGGAAAGCTTACAATGGAGCATTCATTATTTCACATTTGGGCACCTCTTTTCCCAGGTGTACATAGATTGGGGGGGGGGGGGGGGCTGGGTTGGAAATGCATGTAAAAGACACTCAGAGAGAATTGTAGCCTTCATTTGACATTCAAGTGCTTTATCCTGACATTTCTGTTATTCCCATGAATTACAGCAGGGAACAAGCTAAAGAGCCAACCCTTTCGTCTGAACTGGGCTTGGATTTCACTAGAGAAAGACTACTATGTTGTAGATGAGGACTCCAAGTTCCTGGAGGTGACTCTGAAGCGCAGAGGATACCTGGGAGAGACATCTTTCATTGGTGAGTTTGGTTTTTTTTTTTCAGTTGTCCTCTCCTTCAATAAGGAGAGGCTGATTTTTTTTTTTAAGGAGGATCAGTAACTACATCATAGCTGCTCTTCTTTACCTATATAACACCAATGAAGTGCAATGGTAGTACTATATTCATTTATTCCTTAAATGTAGCTCTGTTGCAGACAGGTAAGTCAGTGCTCCACCTCTGAGACACCTAAGTGAACACATGATATGACAACAAATGGTAACAAACATTATAGGGGTTAGGTCAGGTTACAATGAAAAGATCAGCCTTCCTCATTTGGATGTTCAATATGAGCTTCCAGTTGCAATGAACAGCCTTATTCACAGGCCATCAGGGCAGCCATCCTCCTGTTCTCTGCTATATATATTACTCTTCACAACTGTTCCACAGACACTACCATTCTCCTTTGGCAGTGAGACCCACAATGCATCTCATATATTGTGGTAGGCTCCCCAATCCTCAAGCTACATGCAGCTGGTGCTTTCTGCCTGTCTTCCCATTGCCTCCTTCTCAGGTCAGTCACTTAAGGCAGAATACTCTGTCACCTAGTTCATAACCAAAGTAGGAATTATTCTGTTACCTCCTCTGGGTGTATAAGTGTCCCCCAGTGTAAGACTAAGATCACCCTCCAGGGTTATGCAAACATCTCCCTTTTCCTATAATTGGGGTACTTACTTTCCAAAAAAGTATAATAGGATTGGTCCTACACACTGCTTGGGTAACTCAAAGCTGGGATCAAACTGCACTTTGGTTATGCACTAGGGTGCATAAGGGTTGAAAAGGAACAGGATTGAAATGATGTAAGTGTATCTCCTATTTCTGTACTCAGTCCTGGCCAAGCAAATCATCCAAATGACCTAGCATTCTGGAATACTAAGGGGGCTGGAACTGTACCAGCATCAGGCAGCTGTTTGTTATGAGCAGCCACCTGAACACTGCTTCCATCTAAATATGCTGGGTCCCTTTTCCAACTCTTTCTAAATCTCATGGATGTTAGGGCATCCTACTGCACTCCTAAGACATCTCCGGTCTGTGGATGGAGGATGAGTAGAATTATGGGAGCAGGACTGACTGTATAAAAAAATAAATAATGCTGCAGACAAGGATCTATAACCATAAGATACTACACAAAATCTTACCTTTTTTTCTTCTTTGTCTTCTCTTATTTGCCTCAACCACCAACCTCAAAACTCCAATCTAATGTAGACTTGAGTTATTTCGACTAATGAACCATATATGTGTATATGAACTTAACATCTGACTCACATGGTCTGATCCTGTGAGTCAGACCCTATGACTCACCTATAGACATCATAATATTTGGATGGCAATTGTGTGTCATATCATACATACATTGTATAAACTCCACCATGTGGGAACGCATTCCAAATCCACACAAAGCTTGTTTCATTATGAGTGTGTGTGTTTTTAACCCAGTCCTTTTATTAGCCTGCAGACGCGATAGGATGATTAATTGAGAGTAAAGTAGTTGACTTAATATTGCAGTTATAACATCAATGAAATTTTTGGCATGCTCTGATGCTAACCCTCTTTTTTTACAAAAGAGGGTAAGCAATGAGTTCATAGAAACAATCTGGTAATATAAGAAAAATATCTATATGTTGTATAGTAACCTCTCACTGATGATGACTGATCAGGACAGCCACAGGGCTTGAATCCAGAAGCTGTCCCAATCAGCTAGTTGTCAGCTGGCAGGGACCACCTGGCACGCAAGCCCCTGGGTAGTCCCTGCCAGCTAATGAGGACTGTTCTGGGGCTTTGGTCTCTGGGCCATTCAGTCAGCTGTCAGGGACTACCTTGGAAATCTAGTCCCAGGGCAGTCCCTGCCAGCTGACAGGAGATTGGGAAGGCCTCAGGTTTCTTGCCCTGGGACTGTCCCAGTCTCTTGTCAGCTGACAGGGACTGGCAGATCAGGTTCAAACTGCGGGGCTATCCTGATCAGCTGATTATCAGCCAGCTAATTCTAGTCCTGGGGCAGTCCCTGCCAACTGATGGGAGATTTGGAACAGCCCTGGGGATCAGCTAATGGGACCATGATGATCTGCTAGGGGTTTTCAATCTTGTTTTAACAAGTGTACCCCTTTTGTCTCAAATTTTCAGCTCATGTACCCCTTTATGTTTATTGAGGCCCCTGCAGTGAGGGAGGGGCTGGGGCTGAGGCTGGGGCTGGGGCTGGGGCAGGCACTGCAGAGCCCAGGCAGAGCACGGGAAGGAGCCATGAGCAGCTTGTCCAGGAGGTGCAGCTTCTGCCACTGCATGCACCTGGGGAGGGCATGGGGGCGTGTACCTCTGGATCTGCACATGGGGTGAGGTAGGATGCCATTGTGGGCTGGGGCTGGGGCTGTGCTTGGCTCTTCCTAGCTGGGGCTGGGTCAGGCTGCACTCAGGATGGGTGGTGGCGGTGCTGGGAGAGGAGGTATGGGAGGGCCTACAGTGACTCCAGAATTTGCCATAGGCCCCCCCAATCCTCCCTCCAAGTGCCGCTGCCCACCCTGAGCACAGCCTGGCCCAGCCCCCCACTGGGAAGAGCTCAGCACTGGCCCGGCTCCAGCCCGCAGTGGCAGCCCTCCTTCGCCCTGCGCGCATATCTGGGGGCACACGCCCTCCATGCCGTTCCAGGGGTGCATGTAGCGGTGGGAGCTGCCTTGCCCCTGCCCCTGCACTCCCTGGATGAGCCACTTACTGCTCCGTCCCGCATTCCATCCTGGCTGGGCAGCCCCTGCTGCTGCCTCAGCCCCAGCCCCACTCCCTCCCTCCCCCACTGCTGGGGCCTCACTCTGCCCCCCACGCCCCTTCCCTCACAAGAGACTTGCCAGCCAGACCCAGCTGCTCTCCATGCTGCTGGGCTGCACTCCTGGCTGCCTGCAGGCTGCGCTGCGGCTGCACACACACATGTAGCACTTATTGGCCACATTATCTGATGCTTCAGTTCTGCATACCCGCTATGACCTTTAAGTACCCCTAGGGTTATACATACCCCTGGTTGACAACCACTGAGCTAATCCATTGGCTAGCATGGTCCATTCCAGGGCTAGAACCTTGCGGTAATCTCTGCCAGCCAACTGCAGATTGGGACTGTGCAAGGACTCAAGCACTGGGGCAGTCCTAATCTGCCGATAATCAGCTAATTGTTCTTTAGCTCCGGGGATCACAGGGAGGTTTAAATGGCCCCATTTTTCCCCAGAGCTAGTCAATGATCAGCTGATTGTCATGCATCAAACTTGGTGGTACAGAGGGAACCCAGGATTATGATCCCGGGTTCCCCTGGCCCCAGCAATATGTCATTGAGATCTGATGCTGGATCTGACAATCATGCCTCCATGTGTGGCTTGGCAAAAAGCGTGGTTGTTCATCAGATCCCATTAAAGCTTTAATTGTATGTCTGCCAGGGGTGAAATAAATTTAAAAAAAATAGGATACAAATACACTGTGCAAAATGTATTAGTTTTTCTATTAAGACTGCCTTCAATAAGCTGTTTAAATGGATGGAATAAACCATTAAGAAATATCAAAGTGTCTTTCTTATGTGTCCCAAAAATATTTAGATAATGCAAAGTAAAAAATCCATTGAAATCTCTGGATACACCTAATGCAGAAATGTGAAGCTATTTTAGGAATATGACTTGTCTCACTTAGACCCAAACTTCACATTCACAAAGCTTTAGGAACAGGCTTTAAATCATTGCTGTCCTCCTGGCTGTTCTGGCATCCCCCATGGTTGATGTCCAGGTTTCTGTGGTGACTTCTTGAGCATCTGTGCCAGGGGCAGATTAACACAGGGCCCAAGCCTAGGGGCCCCTGCCAATCAGGGCCCCCCCTGGGGTGCCAGAGGCAGTGGGCATCCAGGGCAAGCAGCGCATGCCTTCTCCCCTCTTGTCAGGCTAGAGCCAGAGGCTAGGGGGCAGGCACAGGGCTCTGGGCAGGTGTTGGTGGCTTCCCAGGGCCGTCTATTGCCAGGAGACCTCATGGGTGGCCCCACTCCCACTCTCCACCATCTGCAGGCAGCCGCCAGCCCCAGTGCCACTGGGACAGGATGGAACAGGCATCCCTACTCTGCCGAGGCCAGCAGAGGGGCAGGTGGGCAGCCAGGGGTGGTGTGGAGCCCATTTTCCTCCCACCCCGTCCCCAGGCTGTCTCCGGCTCTGGCCTGTCCCACAGGTTGGTTCCAACACCAATCTCTGCTCTGGGATCCTGCACACTGACTCTCTCCTACTATTCACTTTATCCTGGAAGGATAAGACGTGCAAAAGTTGGTTTTTTTTTTAATTAATAGAGGGACAACAGACATGCTTGTTGAATGAAATAAGAGCTTTATCCAGTTTATATCTGGCATTCATTTTGAAAAGTCGACTTTTTTGCAGGCTACTTGCTGTGTCCAGTCTCTGCTGGCAGAGCAGAGTAGAGAAGTTGTTAGGAAACCAATGACATTCCTCTGATTTCTTAGGACAGCTTTAAGTTGGCTAGAGGCAATTTCAAACTCTGCTATTTAGTAGCAGCTCTCAAGGGGCCATCTACTAGCAAAGGAAAGCAAGAGCACAGCCTGGTGAAGTCATGACCTTGGTATCGTAGACTGGCAGAAGAGGGTTCTATGACTATGGTAGACCCACTCTCTCTCAGCAGAAGAAAGACATCCAGTCTCTCCTCTCTGTGCACCACTGGACAAGAGTATCCCAGAAAATTTAGCTCATCATTTTCAGTAACATTTTTCACTTTAAAAATTTTTAATTGCTTTATTTAATCCACATGACTTGTATCCTGTGGCACACACACACTGTATCAGGTTGTCTGAAAATTCAATTAGGAACTCCTAAATAGTTCTGAAGTGTAAGAACTACAGTTCCTAATTTAGGAATGATTTCATACTTCACAGCTTTCAGAGACTTTTGCAAGATATCAGATTCTCTTTGAACCAGGTAGGGTATTCATCATGACAAACATTAATTATTCTCAGACAAAGGAGGGTAGTGATTTTTAATTGCTGTTGTCAAACGGAAAATAAAAAGAAGAATTTAAATGTTTGCACTGCTTCTGGTTAAAAACCTAAGATAGTACTGAACTCCCAAACCTCACAATGTAATATAGATTCTTGCTTCATTAAATGCATAGCTGGAGTCTACTAGTGTGCACTTATTGTTTCTATTGATTTTTTCTTTTTGAAAAAATTGAAAAAAGTAAAGTAGAAACCCTTTACATTTTAAATGAAATAACTTCGTTTTATTTTGCATTACACATCTTGGTGGTTGTTCTCTCTTTCTCTCATTCATATATGTGTATGTGTATGTATATATTAGACTGTATAATGTATGGTACTTTCTCACTTTGTTAAAATATAGTTTTTAATGTAAATAATGTGAATTTCTGTATCATCACTGCTATGGTCTAAAAATACTTTATGGAGATTAATGAATTAAGCCTTACAATCCTTCCCCAGTTATTTAGTCAAGTACTATTAGGACCATTTTACAAATGGGTGAATCAAGAAAGAGAGTAAGCTTTCAATAATTTGAATAAAATCAGTTAATAGAAAGTTAATAGTAAACTGGGACAGAAAATCCATGGTACTTTATTTTTTGACTAAGTGATGCTACCTCAAATGTATAAAAACAATTATGCTAAGCTAAAGTAGATAGATAGGTGTCAGAAAAATCTGGTTATTTCCTTTCCTGAGTATGTTGACACAAATGCACAATGCACTCCATGCACATATTTGCTTTCCCTTTTTAGTTATTTTATTTAAAATGCATCTCATAACAGTGTTATGGCATATCTGTTTCCATTTAAATGGCACAACGTTCAAATTTTGGATCTGTGTCTTTCTCTGGTGGTTACCTAGGTACTTTAACAATTGCTCTGTTGTTCTCATTGGGGTAATTTCTTTCTTATCACGTAGATTTTTCATGGCCATGGGCTAGGGCTGTCAATCTAAGTGACAATTCAAAACCATTGAATCAAATCCTCAGTCAATACAAATCTGGCTTGAATAAAATGGATCCACATGCAACTCCAAGGGAAAACCTTGTTAGCTGGCAGGATATCATCCCAATGGAAGTGGTAAATCGGGAATACTAAGCAAAGGTTAAAACTATCCTGGTAAAAAAGCTGGGAGGGAAATAAATTTGCATTGACAAGGAGCTAGACTAAATGACTTAACAGAGCTTATTTATTTATTAGGAGCTTCCATATAAACGAAGCATCAAGAGTCATGAAAATTTATAACAGTTAACATGTAGTGACAAATTTGCACTGGCATGGACAAACACTTTTAATATGGCTACCTTAAATGAAGACATGCCTTGCCCCATCCCCAAAAAGCAGGCAAGAGCTAGGGTAGTATCTACAGGTTATCACGTAAGTATGCAACTGTTTGTCAGTATAGGCTGGCATGGGTATATATGCATTTTATACAGGTAACTTGAGAGCCCAGTCCTGAAAATGCTTGTGCATAATTTTACCCACGTTAATAGAGCTTTTCAATTTCTGGATTTGCAAAGCAACTATGTGCATACTAATACAGAACTAGGTACCCATTGGTTTAAGTTAGTGGAACTATTAACACCAAGTTATTTTTGTGTATAGATATTTGCAAGGATAGATTCTCTTATCTACATTTTAAAATGGGCCCCATGCTGTATTGGCAGAGAATGTTTAGTATATACACATTATAAATACTTGTGTGTAAGATGTCTTATAATTATAATCTATTAGCAGCCACTTTTTTTAAAAAAAATCTAACTTGTCACTTGGTTTTGCTGATATTCTCTTTTTTTTTTTGTGGAGAATAATTCTTCTAAACTTATTTGTACAGGTATTGGAACTAAAGATGGAACAGCAGAAAAGGATAAAGATTTCAAAGGAAAACCTCAGAAACAGGTCCAGTTCAATCCAGGACAGACCACAGCTACCTGGAGAGTGAGGATAGTCATAGATAATGAATATGAAGCATCTGAAACTTTCCAGATTGTCTTGTCTGATCCTGTTATGGCTGCCCTGGAGTTTCCAGAAATAGCAACTATTGAAATTGTGGATCCTGGTGATGGTATGCGGCATTTACCAGCTGTGTAACTACTAGAGTTGGCACCTGGGATAAACTTAATGGGAGGGAGGAGTGGGCACATAATTCCAAGAGTGGGATAAGGGTAGGCACGTGGTTCTAAGCAAAATAACAAGTGAGGAGGGCAGAGGCTGAAGGGGGCATGGGTTCTGAGAGCAACAGAGGAGGAAGGAGAGGGGGAAGTCAAAGGGGTGGGGAATCCAAGAGCCTAGGTTCTGAAAGAGAGCAGGTTGGGGAACAGCACTCTTACTCATGCAGAGACTCCTATACAATCCCAGACACATGTGCTCTACCCGCCCCAGCTGTTCATCTTAAATCTGCAGCAGTCAGGGACTGTTTCAGAGTTTTTGGCATGGGAAGGCTCCTGGGGCACGGACTCCATGGGGATGGGGGTGGGGACCTAACTTGGTTCCTGGAGTGAATGCTGTCACCCCACCCCTAGTTATATTACTGGCACTTACAGCTCCTCTTCTTCCAATTCCTAACAGAAAATTCATGCTTCCAAGAAGTAGTGCTCACCCACAGCTTACAAGTTCAGGAGCCAAGTGCTAGGCTCTTCACTCCCTTTTATGCTTATTCAGGCAAAATTTCTGTTGCAGCTGTGAATCACTATCCAAGTACTTAGCAAAACATGGTCAACCCCTTTGTTGTCCAGATTTATACTCCCTGGGCATGTCTACACATTCCTCTTATAAGTGGGCTTAGCCTAAAATCGCCATTTTAAGGTGCCTTAAGAGTGCATGTCTACATGTGTGCATCCTTAATGCACCCTGAAAATGGTGATTTAAGGCTATGTGAGCCTAAATTTGATACCTGCATAAAGCAGATATCAAATTTAGGCATGAATAGCTAAGTCACATTAGCGCACATGTAGATGTGCTAATGCGCATTAACGCTGTGCTTGTCAATAGATGCACAATGAATTAATGTGCATTAGTGTGACTCAGCTATTTGCACCTAAATTTTATGCACCTTAATGTGCATTAGCATGTCCACATGTAGACGCGCGCCTGAATCACCTTAATGCACCTTAAGCAAAGGCGCATTAGGTTTAGGCATGTGTAAATACATGCATAGACACACCCCATGTGATTTAACTAACATCAGCACTGAATGTCTCTCTCTTTTTCTCTTTTTAGAATCGATAGTGCATATTCCTCAGCTTGAGTATAAAGTAGAAGAAGATATTGGTGAGCTGTTCATTCCTATTAGGAGATTGGGAGACATCAGTCAAGAACTAATGGTCATTTGTTCCACACATCAAGGTTTGTTAGTTACTCAAGTAACAAAGATAGGGTGTTTGTACACGTGACAAAAATTGGCCATTTTAGCGGTTTTATTGTGTCACACATGCGGGGGGGGTTTATGATTTAAACAAGTTTGCTAGGTTGCAAACTAAACCACATCCACATGTAGTTTAGTTTGCAACATAGCTATTTGTAACATCGCAGCCTTTGGCAGCTCACCCCTCCTGCTGAGGCAGAGGCGGGTTGAAGGCAGAAGCAGTGAGGGACCCAATACTTTTTTTTTTGTTTTTTGTGGAGCCTGCCCATGTCTCCCATGACCAGAGAGCAAGCTTCCAGTGGGTAGAGTGGCCCCTGCGCCTCAGAGGGCCCTGGTCTTTCCCTCTGCATCAGTGGCACTCCCTAGGGCCACCCAAGAGGGCTGCTAGCGGGCAGGTGCTGACCCAGCTCAGGCTCGGGGAACAGTTGGAGCTAAGGCAGCACCCGCCTGCTAGCCACCTGCCCAGATGGCCCCAGGGGGTGC